TTCCAGATATAGATTAAGGATTTTTTTTTAAATATAGAAAAGTGAAAGTTTCACAGGCATGGGCAACTCTGCATATAAAGAAGGAAATGTGCCATGAATATTGAGGTATCTAGATATAGAGAAGGGATTTTCCACAGATAGCAAAGTCTCCCTATATAGAGGTAGGTTAAACGTCTGTCACCGTGTATGAATTGGCCCTTAATCAGGTTGGCAATCTTAGTCATATCCTTTCTGGCAGAGTGTCCCTGATATCAGTGTTGTAGACTATTCTGACTTAACCTGCCACAACTTGCAATGTGTACAGTTTTGAGGTTAGATTCCTTAGTCACAGGTAGCAGGTTGGTCAATTACCATCATTAATGAACAGATCAATACGCTAACTCATTGCATATCTCTGTAAGTAAACAGTTCACTGACAGTTGAACACTTGTGTAACATATGATGCTTCTTATATCAAAACTGTAGCAGAATAAACAGTATTAGTGCATTGTACCACCATAAAGTAAAGATTGTGAATGTGAAAAAAAGGGGGTGAATTCAGAATGTGTATGGAATTTTTGGATCATCCTTACCAAATCACCTGTTCTCCCACCATGTTGTAACAGTGTCAGCCATTATAGTAATATGACCACCATTTCAAAGATGTTTTCAAATAGGTTTAACCACTTTCCGCCTGCCATATAGTACAATGACGGGCGCAAGGTGGGTTCTCTCGTTCTGATAGGACGTCATATGACGTCCTTCCATTCTCACTGCGCATGCGCGGCTCAGGGAGCACACAGCGTGGAGATCGCCGGTGCGCTGTGTCCCTCGGACACAGTGGATCACGGAAAGAGCCAAAGATGTTGGCTCAGTCATGTGATCAGCTGTGTCCAATCACAGCTGATCACATGTAAACACGGAAATGCCGGTTATTGGCATTTTTCTCCTCTCGAGCTGTCACGCTGACAGCTCGAGAGGAGAGGAGAGCCGGTAATCGGCTTTCCGCGGAGGGGACATGTACACTGATCATCAGGGCACTGATGATCAGTGTGCCCTGATGCCCCAGAAATGCCACCTGTCAGTGTCCATCAATGCCAGCAGTCAGTGTTCATCAGTGCCACGTGCCAGTGCCCATCAGTGCCACATCAATGCCACATATCAGTGCATACCAGTGCACATCAATGCCACAAATCAGTGTCCATCTGAGCTGCTTTTCAATGTCACCCATCAGTGCCAGTCAGTGACACCTATCAATGCCAATCAGTGCCACCTATCAGTGCTGCCAATCAGTGCCACCTATCAGTGCCAGTCAGTGCAGCCTAACTGCCAGTCAGTGCTGCCTAACAGTGCCAGTCAGTGCCACCTATCAGTGCCAGTCAGTGTTGCCTATGAGTGCCGCCTATCAGTGCCATATATCAGTGTCATGTATCAGTGCTGCCTCTCAGCGCCCATCAGTGATGCCTGTCAATGCCCATCAGTGCAACCTACCAGTGCCTCCTCATCAGTGCCACCTATCAGTGTCTATCAGTGCAGCCTATCAGTGCCCATCACTGCAGCCTCATTAGCACACATCAGTGAAGGAGAAAAATCACTTATTTACAAAATTGTATAACAAAAACTAAGAAAAGACGTTTTTTCTTCTAAATTTTCAGTGGTTTTTGGTTTGTTTAAGAAAAAATCAAAATCCCAGAGGTGATTAAATACCACCAAAAGAAAGCTCTATCTGTCTTGACTTGAAAAAATGATAAAAATTTCATATGGGTACAGTGTTGCATGACCGCGCAATTGTCATTCAAAGTGTGACAGCGCTGAAAGCTGGAAATTGGCCTGGGCAGGAAGGGGGTATAAGTGCCCTGTAGGCAAGTGGTTAAAGGGGACGTGTGGTAAAAAATAAACACACATGCTAACCTTTAACAAATATACATAAACAGCGCAAAAATAGACCTCTAAATGAAATAAAAATATATATATTTTTTTTTTACATAAAGTGAATAATACTAATAAATATATCATAAACCATAAATTAATAGTGAATATTATTATTATACAGTATTTATAAAGCGCCAATAGTTCGCTCAGCGCTGTACATTACAAAGGGGGACAGAACATGTGACAGAACAATACCAATACAATGCAAAACATGAGGGGATCGAGGGCCCTGCTCTTTCGAGCTTACAATCTAGGAGTATCCCCAATATTAATAAACACCAAAAGTCCGTGTATGATGAAAATAGAAATTCCAAAAATTCTTCAAATGTAAAGAAGCTTCCACCTTCCACCCGTGCAAACCAACATCAAATGCACTCACCAGATATTGGTGAATGAGAAGCCTTTAGGGATTTTAAAGGGATCCTAAACCCTCTTTAGCATCCACTCTATGGAATTCTTCACCATCAGAATAGGCTCCACCGTTCAACCGGGAGAAAAAATCTCAAATAGTGTAATATTGACAATCAACAATATAATTAAAAGCGTTTCGCCCCTCCCATCCTGGGAGAACGCCCGATGGGAGGGGCGAAACGCGTTGACGTATTTCCAGTCTGCACTCTGTGCGTCTGACGTCATTTCCGGTGAGTGGAGCGCACGCTGAGCGGTGCGTTCCAGCGGCCATCTTTGGGAACTGTGCTGGTCTCTGTGTGGATCCTCTGCTCTATCCTGTGGCTGTGATGTGGGATTCCTGAATTAGGAGTCTGTAAAGTGCTCATTTTCCATTTGGAGGCCATGGTTTCAATAAATGTGCTTTTTAAAGTTGCTGACATGTGAGTGGCCTTAATCTTTGCTTTTAATTATATTGTTGATTGGCAATATTACACTATTTGAGATTTTTTTTCTCCCGGTTGAACGGTGGAGCCTATTCTGATGGTGAAGAATTCCATAGAGTGGATGCTAAAGAGGGTTTAGGATCCCTTTAAAATCCCTAAAGGCTTCTCATTCACCAATATCTATTATTTGTGTTTTTCGCATTGCACAGCGGCAGTTTAGACTTTGTAGTTTTTTATTGGCGCAGAAATAGTTTTTAGTACACATGCTAACCTATCTGCTGCAGCATCGGTCTGATGCTGCAAGCTGTCCCCCTGCCGGCTCTATGTCCGAGAACTTATTGCTTTGTTCTTGGGTCCACTCTGAGCAGAGTGGTGACTATCAATCACCGCTGTCTGCTTTGTCCTTCCAGTGCTCACTGGAGTGCCAGACTGGAGAGGGGGCAGGAGTGGATGGTTCAGGCTCTCAGCAATTTGCAGCAACTTGAGAAGTGAAAATTTTACCATATCTACCATGTAAATCTATTAAAACCCTGGATAGACCGAGAGCAGGTAGCTGCCCTAGCTGAAATGAGTTTGAAGCCCCATGTAGGGGTGGATCCAGTCCCAGTGGCCCCCACCTTGTCCAAACCACAAACTCAGCAGGTAAAAGAGTTTTTACAGAGAGATCAGGAGATTTTTCCAGATCTGCCCAGTCTTACCAGGGTGATTGAGCATGGTATTATCATGAAGCCTAATGTAAAGGTCCAAGTCAAACTTTATTGCATTCCCAAGGTACACAGGAAAGCTGTATAAGAGGAGGTTCAGAAAATGCTTGAACTCAATATCATTGAAAAGTTTCAGAGTGAATGAAGCTCCATTGTGTCAGTACTGATGCCCAATGGAACTCCATTGTGTGGTTTTGTAATGATTTCAGAAAGCTTAATGAGGTATCAAAGTGCTATATGTATCTGATGCTTCAAGTAGACAAGTTGTCAGAGAGGTAGAGACCAGTCTGGTATGCTACCACCTTAGACCTCACCAAGGGGTACTGGCAGAGACCTCTAACCAAGGAAGTCAGAAATAAAGGGCATTTTCCACCCTAGAAGGTCATATCCAATATAAAATAATGCGATCCAGGCTGCACCCTTCCCCAGCTACTTTACAGAGAAGGTAGGATAAAAAACTACGTCCTCATCAGAAGTACATCTCAGTATACCTTGTTGCCATTGTTATTGTTAGTACAGACTGGGAGTCTCATTTGCCCTAAGATAAGGCTGTGTTGGACTCTTTAAAGAAGGAGGGGTTTACTTTAAACCCTGAGAAATGTGCCATTAGGACTGAAGAGACCAGAAACCTGGGGTACATTGTGGGTAGGGGTTTGATAAACCCTTAGATGAACAAGGGCTTGGCCCTGCCTCATCACAAAACAATTCCTGGGCATAGCTGGGTACTACCAACAGTTTGTCTCCAACTTTGCCACTATCCCTGCACCAATGACTGACTTGATGAAAGGTAAGAAGTTGGCCATGGTTGGGAGGAAAGACAAGGCTGAAGAGGCCTTTCTGGAGCTAAAAACAGCCCTATGCAAGTATCCAGTGCTGGTTGCTCCAGAGTTTTTAAGGAGTTTGTTGTCCAAATAGATGCTTCCAGCCATGGGTTAGGGGCTGTTTTGTCTTAAGAAGTCAATAGGGAAGAACATCCTCGTGGTCTTTCTCAGCAGGAAGTTAACAGCCAATGAGGAAAACTATGTCATAGTGGAGCAAGAATGCCTGGCCATCAAGTGGGCTTTAGATTCTCTGCACTATTTTCCGGTTCCGGTTGGTGCCAGGACCATACCCCACTGACATGGCTGAGGCAGAGCAAGCACACAAATGCTAGTGCAACCAGGTGGTTCTTGGCCCTACACATTTTGTGGTGCAACACAGGCCTGAAAAGCAACACAATAATGCTGATGCCTTCTCTAGGGTATACTGTAGAGTGTCCCACATTGCATGGTTAGCACTTCCGCCTGGCAGTACTAGGGTCGTAGGTTCGATTCCCAATCACGGCACCACCTGTCTGGAGTTTGCATGTTCTCCCTGTGCCTGCGTGGGTTTCCTCCGGGTACTTCGGTTTCCCACACACTCCAAAGACATGCTGGTAGGTTAATTGGCTCCTGTCTAAATTGTCTCTAGCAGGGGCAGACTGACAACTCATGGGGCCCCCGGGCAATAGGGGTTCATGGGGCCCCTCTGTCCTCGCCCACACTCAAACCACACCCAAAAAAGCCTATGAAAGGTACCAGGGGCATCTTATGGGGCCCCCTACTGACCCCAGGCCCTCGGGCAGTGCCCGAGTTCCCAAATGGTCAGTCCGCCCCTGGTCCCTAGTATGTGTATGTATGAATGTGAGTTAGGGACCTGAGATTGTACGACCCTTGAGGGTTAGGGACTGATGTGAATGTACAATATATATGTAAAGCACTGCGTAAATGGACAGCGCTATATAAGTACCTGAAATAAATAATCACACACCTTTGCGTTGAGACATGTACAGGATGCCAGGGATTGGTCCTGGATGGGAGATATGTGTCCCTTTTGTTTTGTGTTGTGGTCCCTTCAAGGGGATGATAAATAACAGAATGTACTCAGGGATTCTCACATGCAGGGTGAGGGGTTCCAGGATGGTCCAGCAGGGAGGGAAAAACTGATCCACAGTTTTCCCAGAGTTGGTAAGTTCTCATATGAAACCCGGAATTCTGAGATTTCAGTGATCAGAAACCCCTGAATATCATAGTCTTATGAGTTATAGACATGATTCAGAGTTATCAAGAGGGAATTTCCATCAACATTAAGAAGGTGGCAGCCTTATTTTGGGCAACATAGCTTGGGGCATGGCAGTCACATGTGTTTTATAACTGATGTAATGCTCACCTACGATTGGATGACCACGTTGAATAACTACAGTACAGTAAGTACAAATAGTATTATGGTTTGTGTTTATCTTAATTGTGGAAACTAATAAAATACCATACGAACTGCTCTAATGGGCAGCGGTTGTTTTGCTGACCACCCACACTTGTGTACAGAATGTATCTAATAAATCCTTATCTGATTTGAACCTTCTCACAGCTTGTTGCTGTTTGTTTTTAAAAGAATCCCTATTCAGAAAAAGTAAGATTGTCTTGTTTTATCCAACTTTCTCCAATTTATAATGAACTCTGTTTATGTATTCGGTTTATTGAAAGAGAGGGACAGACATACTGTCCTTGTGAAATATCTCCTTTCTCATTACAGGTTATTATCAAAAGATAACTCTATCTATGTGATCTGCTACTTTATAGATCTACTGATCTCAACACCAAAACAGGCAGATAGAAACCGATAACCAATGTTGGATGTGGACACGTAATACTATGTGCACATGTGCAATGAAATACTGTATGTCACTATCACTATTCATGATATATTCCAGTTATGTTAGATATTGTAATATACTCTTTGGAGGTACAAAGTCATATCCAACCTACTAAAGACAGGAGGCAACACAGAGCTCCACAAATGTTTAGCACAGAAACACTGCTCTGGCCATATACAGTAATGACTTTAGGCTGCTCCTGCTCCACTCACAATCTATTCATGGATCTCATACAGATTTCTCTTAGGGACCAAGGCATGGATCTCATACAAGTCCCTCTCAGGATCCATCCAAGGATCTTATACAGATTCCTCTCAGGACCCATCCATAGGTCTTATATAGATTACTCTCATTATCCATGGATCTCACACAGATTCTTCCCAGCACTCATCCATAGATCTTGAATAGATACAAATTCCTTTCATGGCCCATCCATAAATCTCATAAAGATTCCTTTCAGGATACATCCATGGATCCCTTACAGATTGCTCTCAGAATCCATCTTTGGGTCTCATACATGTTCCTCTAAGGACCCATGGATATCATACAAATTCTTCTCAGGACCCATCCATGAAGCTCATACAGATTCCTCTAAAGATCCATATACAGATCTCATATACACTCACCAGCCACTTTTTTTTAGGTACACCTGTTCAATTGCTTGGTAACACAAATTGCTAATCAGCCAATCACATGGCAGCAGCTCAATGCATTTAGACTTGTAGACGTGGTGAAGACAACTTGCTGTAGTTCAAACCAGGCATCAGAATGGGGAAGAAAGGGGATTTATGTGGCTTTGAACATGGCATGGTTGTTGGTGCAAGATGAGCTGGTCTGAGTATTTCAAGAACTGCTGATCTTCTGGGATTTTCACACACAACCATCTCTAGGGTTTACAGAGAATGGTCCAAAAAAGAGAAAATATCCAGTGAGTGGAAGTTGTGTGGACAAAAATGCCTTGTTGATGTCAGAGGAGAATGAGCAGACTGGTCGCTGTGACATTCAGATGATAGGGCCAGAATTTGGTCTAAACAACATGAAAGCATGGATCCATGCTGCCTTGCAGCAACGGTTCAGGCTGGTGTTGGTGGTGTAATGGTGTGGGACAGGGGCGGACTGACCATTTGGAAACTTGGGCAATGCCCGAGGGCCCGGGGTCAGTAGGGGGCCCCATGAGATGCCCCTGGTACCTTTTTCATAGGCTTTTTTGAGTTTGGGCAAGGACACAGAGGACCCATGATCCCCTTTTGCCTGGAGGCCCCATGAGTTGTCAGTCCGCCCCTGGTGTGGGAGAAATATTCTTGACACTAGCAAGGTGTACCTAATAAAGTGGCCTGTGAGTGTAGATTCTGCTCAGGACTGATTTCCTACAGATTGCTTTCAGGATCCATCCATAGATCTCATACAGATTCCTCTCAGGACTGTCAAGGTCCTACCTTTTCCCAGAGGTTATGTTACTCCATGTGCTAGCATCCATCTTGGATTTCTGCTGAGCATGATGGGAATCTTTTATGCCTTCAGGTCTCTGAGGTCCATCCCCCAGAGGGGTGTGGCTGAGTACATATAAGCCTGGGATCTGCACATGCTCTTTGCACTTGTGTCTTGTGTCTTTGTCTTGCTACAGCTCTGTGTATACGCTCGTGACTCTTCTGGTATTCTGACTCGGCTTGTGACTAAGACCATTCTCTGCGTTTCCCTTTGATCTGACCTTCCGTTGCTGAACCCGGCCCGTGACCTGTGATTCTCTGTCTACTGTTCTGTACTGTTTTGTCCCGTTGTTATTGACCCGGCTTGTCTGACTACGCTATTGTCATTCTCACCAACTACACGCCATTGGCGGCGGCCATTACCACAGCTGGGGTGTCTCGGGGGCCGCGACCTGGTCCCTGGTTGCGTCAAGTCCATCCCCACCATCAGGGGCCCTGGTGAAGGGCAGCCTGGGACTTAGACTCCGCGCCCTGAGGGACTTCAGTCTGTTGGTGGTGGTTGTCGTCAGCCAGTGCGTTACCCTGCCACTAGGCCTACCTGTCCGTTCCACAGCCCTGCCCTGACATTACACAAGTGCCATGAATCCTGACGGTGCAGGTACGCCTTCACTTCCTATGTTGGTTGCCAGACTGGATCAACAGGATCTCCTGTTGGATCAGTTCGCTCAGGCGTTGCAAACTCTGCTGGCACGCACCGCGCACCTTACTCCTGGTGTTATTAGGCCGGTTGTCACTCCGGTGGTCGCTCCCGCTGCTGTTCCGCTTGCTGTGCCTACCGCCGCGGCTGATGCGGCACCCGCGGTGTCCAGAGGTATGACCGGTTCAGCCCCTCTTCCACAGTGCTTTGGGGGTGAGCCGAGTCAGTGTCGTGGGTTCCTTAACCAGGTGGGGATTTACTTTGAATTAATCCCCTACGCTTTTCCGACTGAGAGGTCAAAGGTGGGTTTCCTCATCTCACTACTCTCAGACAAGGCCTTGGCCTGGGCGAATCCCTTATGGGAGAGGAATGACCCCGTGATTCACGAGTTTTCCGGTTTTGTCGATGCCTTCCGTAGGGTATTCGATGTACCGGCTCGCTCCGCCTCGGCTGCCAAGCTGCTCATGTCTATGCATCAGGGTTCACGGACCGTGGCCGAGTACGCCATAGAGTTTCGTACCCTGGCAGCAGAGGTGGGTTGGAACAATGAGGCTCTGGTGGCTGCGTTTTCTCAGGGTCTTTCTGATGCATTGAAGGATGAGATCGCAGCCAAGGAATTGCCTGTGGAGCTGGAAGCACTAATTTCCTTCCTGATCCTGATTGATACCAGGCTCAGGGAGAGGCCTTCACTCAAGGAACGCCTGCGGAGGCCTTCCAATCGACTGGCACCTGCGTTTTCTATCCCACCCATTCCTCCCTCTCCTCCCACGCCTCCTGGGGATAGATTGTCTGGTGGTGAGCCCATGCAGCTGGGGTTTGCTCGCCTTTCCGAGGGAGAGCGAGCCGCTCGGCGTCGGGAGGGTCGCTGTCTGTACTGTGGTCTTGGTGGGCACTTTCGGCAGTCCTGTCCGGTCCGTCCGGGAAACGCTCGCACCTGAGATCCTGTCGGGGACAGATCTTGGGTGGAGTCTCCTCGTCCCCGGCGTTCCGCAGAGATAAGCCACTGATCACCGTTGTCCTCTCTTGGGCAGAGGGCTCGGTGACGGCCCAGGCGTTGGTAGATTCTGGGGCTGGCGGGTTGTTTATGGACAGCTCGTTTGCTGCCCAGCACTCCATTCCCCTGCAGGCTCGAGTTACCCCATTGGTTCTCGAGGCGATAGATGGCAGGCCCCTGCAACCACCGCAGGTTACCCACGAGACTATGCCAGTTGAAGTAGCTATTGGGGCTGTTCACAGGGAGTTGGCCTGTTTCCAGGTGATTTCTTCTCCGCACTATTCGGTGGTTTTGGGGTATCCCTGGCTCCAGATGCACAATCCAACCTTCAATTGGCAAACTGCCGAGATTCTCTCGTGGTCTTCACAGTGTGGGGCCGGGTGCATCCGTGGGCCGGTTAAGGTGTTGTGTGCCTCCTCAGACTCTGCGTTGCCCACTGATTATGGGGAGTACCAGGACGTGTTTGATAAGGTACGCGCTGGTGCCTTACCTGCTCATCGTCCTTACGACTGCGCCATATCCTTGCAACCCGGTGCCACTCCTCCGCGTGGCAGGGTGTATCCTCTCTCGGTTGCGGAGAATAAGGCCATGGAGGAGTACGTTGCGGATGCGCTTTCCCGGGGGCACATTCGTAAGTCTACTTCCCCAGCAGGAGCGGGCTTTTTCTTTGTAAAGAAGAAGGGTGGTGAATTGAGGCCTTGCATCGATTATAGGGGTCTCAATCGAATCACCACTAAGAATGCCTACCCGATTCCCTTGATTACTGAGTTGTTTGACCGCCTTAAGGGGGCAACAGTCTTTACCAAACTTGACCTTAGGGCGGCGTACAACCTCGTACGGATCAAACAG